GCCTGCATTTCGCGCACTCGACACGCACGATCTCCGCAGAGGGTTGCACTTTCGGTTGACGCTGTTCGTCCCACCCGCCTTTAAGAGAGAATTTATAAAGTGGGGAAATGTTCTTTGATTGGGACATCTCCCGTGCTAGTTTTCCATACTTTTCCATACTCACACTTGCCTACTCATTGCATGCTTGCATACTCATTGCATGCTTGCATACTCATTGCTTGCATACTCATTGCATGCTTGCATACCCATCCCTTGCATACTTACACTGCGTGCTTGCATACCCATCACTTTGACACTGCATACTTTGACACTTGCATACTTTGCACTTGGATGCTTTCGCTCTTCCACTGGATGCTTTGCACTTGGATGCTGGGGTGGAAGTGTCAGTGTGTAAGTGTAAGTGTCGAAGTGTCAGTGTATGTAGTGCAAATGTGGTGGAAGTGTCAGTGTGTAAGTGTCAGTGTCGAAGTGTCAGTGTTCAAGGGATTTTCCGGAAGAACCCTTCGCAAGGCTTTCGGGAAAAAGCAATATGATGCGTTTCTTCACCCTTCAGTTCCTTCCAAAGTTGGACAACGGCACTGCGTTCCGACAGGAGGGTCGCGTCATAGCGCGTCCCTTCGAGCCAGGTCTCTGGTGCCAGGCGGTATTCCACCGAAGCCCAGCAAAAGGAACCCCACTTGGCCTCGCGGTGCAACCTGAAGCCTCCTCACTCAAAAAAAAACGAAAGAGAAAAACAACTCGGAATCTTCAGAATCAGAAAAGTCTGCGAACATCTACAACAAGTGAGAAAAAAAACACTCATCAGTCGTCGGGTTTTGCTTTTGGCATTGGGAACAAGTACAAATGTCACAAAAAAAGAGGAAAGCTGATGGCTCAAAAATGTGCTCCAACAATGGCCCGCGCAAAAAGGAACATGGGCTCCAACAAGGAAGGGTCGTAAAGGACATAATTCCAAAAAGTCGTGCAGGAAAAAACGTGCTCATCCAGCCTGCACGGCCAGCATGAAGCTGGCGCTCCAGGAATCTTTGCAACTGCCCAAGATCATTCCACCGCCATGGCCCCAAAGCACCAATGGCACCGATCCCTGATCCTTCTCAGCCTGATCGAATCCAAAAAAGAAGCGCCGATTCGGGTCTCCGCTCCATCTGAAATAGGTCAACATGTAATCCGACAAATGTCTACTAATACAACAAATCAAATAAACAACTCTGGGTAAACAGCAACGTTACAACCAACAAGTATTGTATAATGTTGCAAACTGTCCTATATTCCATCTCCTCGGGTCACCATATAACATCACAAAACAGTAACATACAGCAACGCGCGGACGGGAATTCCCCCATGAATCAAAATTCACATATGCAGGAAGCAACACAAACTGGTTCTCTTCTCCGAACTGAGCATCACTCTTCGGTTGATGGACGATCACCCGGACCGTGCCACCGTTCGTTGCTCCAAAGTGCTTCTCCGAGACATTCCACTTCTCGGCCACCAACTTCCTCTGGTTGGAAACCCGGACGTGGTTTTCTGCCGTGGTGGAAGAGACTGGCTTGGATCACTGACACCATGAGAGGGTTCCAACTTCTCTCTCTGCTACCTTGAGATCTATTTCAGAAATTGCAAATTGTGGAAGCCTTGAATATGCCAAGCTGGCTATAACTGTGTTTCATGTTGGTGTTGTCCAGGGCTGAGGGTCAACCTGCCGCTAATGATACAAAAATTGCCCGAGCAGCGACGCCAGAGCCGTGGCAGCCTTTTCTTTCGCGCAGCCTCTCAGCACAATCGCACCACTTCCAAGTGACTAAGTGGCCTTTCCAAGCTGCAGCCAGTAGGCAATTGCCGGCAGTTGCCCCATCGACCCTTTCCGCATGCAAACGCACGCTCCAGCCGCCAGCCTCATCAACAATGCCCGCATTCTTGTCAGCTCCAGCCTTGAGCAAGGGGAACGTTACGAGCTGCAGCCAGCAAAGCGGTTGCCGTTTTTTGTGCCTGGCATTCTTGTCAGAATCAGCTTCGAGCAACAACCGCACCACTTCCAAGTGGCCATGGCGACCTGCAGCCCATAGAGCTGTTACCCCATCTGACCTTGCAGCATTCTTGTCAGCTCCAGCCTCCAGCAGCAACCGCACCACTTCCAAGTAGCCGTCACTTGCTGCAGAATGCATGGGTCGAAGGTCAGCGTCTGCACCTCGCCAATTTGGATCCAGCGGAATTTGACCCAAACGTTCAACTTCGCCCAATTGTGGTCACATGCACCAAGAAGCTCCCTCCACAGGGCCTCATTTTGTGCACAGAAGTCCAGGACCACCAACTGAACCCTTCCCCATAGTCACCATAGTCAATAGTCTTACTGCCATATCATCATGTACTGTAACTCGCCTATGTCTTCACTCCAGAGTCTTTGTCGAAATCTTGGGTATCCAACCCGGCCAGCCAGGAGTTGCTTCAAATCCATGACCGATGTTCAACTCATCATCCAAACCAACTTCCCCTCATCGAGCTTTGTGAGAGTGCCTGAACCTCCATGATCGCCTCAAGCAGCGGTGGCTCTTCGATCTTGAGCCAAGATGCATGGACAGAGGTAGAAACGAATCAAGTTTAGGTGTTAAATGTTGGAAGCCTTCAACGACCTCTGAAATATTGCAATAGTGTGAAATAGTGTCAAATAGTGTGGTTTAATGTATAAATACTATTCATTGGAAATAGTGAACATGTCGTTAGTCCACCCTCGTCACCCAAAAAGCGAAGGACACTGAGCGGTCAAAGGAAGCTGCTACTTTTTCAGGCGCGAGTTGTTGTCTTCCTAATCGTCCACCACGTCTGAGCCCAAGAGCTCCGTCAGCGAAGGTTTTTCTTCCTTCTTCTCTTCCTTCTTCTCTTCGGCTTTCTCATCGGCATTCTGACGTCCACTCTTGGCCGCTTTTTGGCATCTGTCTTTGTCCACATCCTTTGTCTCCCCCAAGCGCTTGAACTCCAGACGGAGCTTTTTGGCCAGCACTTTGAGCACGACACCTTCTTGGTTGTCGAACTCTGACTTTCTTTTGCCAGGGAGAGCAATGGCAACGTCTCCTTCCTTCCAATCAGTCACAGCCGCAGGCGGGGCTGCCTGCTGAGGTTCTTTGTGGCCACCCTTCTCTGCGGCACGACCGGCAGCCAAAGCTTCTTCCTTCGCCTTGTCAGCTCTGCTCTTCCAACCATCCATGCACGGCTGCAATTTCGCATGGCCAGTTCGGTCCCTTTTCTGACCGAGTTTGGTCACGTACCACTTGTGCAAGGTGGACAACGCCTCATCATCCAAGGTCTCGGGGGGGAAGCTCTTCAGCTTCTCATCGTTGTCATCATCCAATGCCACTCCCAACTTGGCGCTAGAATTCTCGAGAAACAAAGCCCATGCCCAAGCACGAACAGCTCCTCCTTGTGGAAGGACACGGAGACGTGTAAAATCCGCAAGCAAACCTGCCAGGAAAGTAATGGCCCTGAACTAGCCTAAGGACATGGCCTAGGATGGGTCGGCCCCCATCGGTTATCCCAAGATTCGCTAGGTTTTGTCGGACGCTCGCATGCATGGGGAAGAAGAAACAGGCCCAATCATCCAAGGCACTCTTCACCACCTGCAATTTGATGAAAGAAGAAGCTGTGGAACACATGGAGAGACTCTCCAAGCCAGCAAGGTACTGCTTCTCTGTGAAGTGACCGAATTTCGGCTCTTCGGAGACGAAAGTAGACAGGCAAAGCTCTGGTGCAGTTGGGTACCAAAATTTAAGCAAATCAAACCTGCCGACGTCCGAAAGCAAATAGGCCAGCCTCTGATCGTACGATGCGGGCCCACACCAAGTCAATGCGAAGGTAACCCGAGAGTCATCAGACAGCTTGGCAAGAGGCTCAAGGAGAGGCCGGAGTTCTTCCCGTGTCTTCTGCGCTTGCTGCAACTTGGAAATTCGCTCTTCCAAGCTTTTCTTCATCCAAGACTTGTATAGCTCGCTACCAACCAGAGCAGCACGCGCAGACAAGCTCAAAGATGACAGGTCCACTTCACAAAAAGAAGAGCCGCTGCAATCGTAGTCCGCAATGGCAATGAGTGCATCCACCAATCCGGGCTTGGGGAAGATTGAAGGGACCTTCTCTTTCAAATCTTTGAGCAACTGGGTGAAATGTGGCAACACCTGCGAGGAGCGAGGCACCGAAAACAATCAGCTCATGAACTCAGAGCTGAGTTGAACAAACATACGACGGAACAAGGAAGACGTGAAACGATCAAAACTTCCTTAGGGTGGATAACCCGTGTCCTCACAAGCGCCCTGCTCCAAAAACTTGGTGGCCACAAACTTGGGGAAAATCGCCATATCTGGAGGGAGGTCCTGACCCTTGGCGGCGGCACGCTTGGCATGGCCACAAAATGCCCGCAGCCAATACTCTGCCGTCGGAGCATTCCGGCCCTGCAGAAGATCAATCAAACCTAGAGAAAAATACACCATCCAAACACTCCTTACGCACACGAGAACGCAACAATGCGTGTGTCCTCACTCCACAGCAAAGACTCGCTGAAACACGTCTTGCACTTTGCAGCGATGAGCTCCACTTCATCCTCCTCAGAGCTGAAAGACCGTGCTAGCAAGCGCGGCGGTGGAAGCGCAGGCTTCACTTCTGGAGCTGAGGAGGAGGAGGCTGCAGGAGCAACTCCAACAACTGCTGGCGAAGTCGGTTCAAAGGAGATTGCTGGAGCTGGAGGGTCGGCTGGAGTAGGTGTGCCTTTCTGGCTCTTCTTGTTGTAGCTCACAACAAACTCCACTTCCCTCACTCCCAGGCCAAGATTCTGTCTGCGGACACACTGATCAATCAACCAATGTGTCTGCGGATTGAAGCATGGCGGCATTTCATCCCACTCTGCTGCACCATGCTACGGTCCTGGCAATTCTTTCTCTCTACTGTCAGGCTTGTAGCATGTGTCTTCCCAAAAATCTCTGCAAGTTCGTTTTGCACTTTATCGGAAAGGAGGTACGAAATTGCTGCTACCGTGGCTCCCTGTCGTAGTGCGTTCCTGTGCAAGAGTCTGGAATATCCCCAGTCGAGAGACGCTTCCGGAACATCCAAGAAATGCTCGATCTCCAACATGAACGTGTCTGGGTTGAACCGTCGGGACAGAAGGCACAATTTGGCAGGGAACTCTTGGTACTCACTGAAGCGTAGTAAGATGTGGATTTCCGTGACGAACAGAGATGCAAAACAAGAAGTTTGGTCCACCAATGTGTCTGCGTGCAGCCAATCTGCTATATCCAAGAGTTCAGCAAGTGTGCGCTGCTGCACAACTCCCTTAGCTAGCTTGACCAGGGTGGGCACTTCATCCAAGGAAGCCTTCGTTGTTCCAGAACGTTTTGCAGTCAGACTGGTTGCAAGACCTGTGAGGCGAAGGCACAAGCAAGCACGCCTCAAATCTCTCTGCTGCACCTCGTCGTCATACCAAGATCGGAAAGCAACTGCCCGTTTTGCATTCTCTTCTTGCATGTGTATCGTCTGTGTCCGGAAAATTTGCGCAGGGATTTTCAGGAGCTGACATAGCAACAACTTGTTTGCGCAAAAGCCGAACAACCAAAACCGGGATATGACAGGCTTGTCTTCGGGCTGAAGGAGTAGTCTGTACAACAAAGTAAAAATAAGGCCACGGAAGGTTTCCAAGCTTTTTGGCTGTGGCTCTTGGTGGAGAAGCTGACAAATATCGATGTTAAGCAACGACCGGACAGTGTTTGGAATGACTTCGAGCCCATAGAGCTGTAGCAACCCCCTGTCCACCCGAGCTTCTGCACTTGGAATGGGACCTTGGATCAGAGAAATGCCAGATGTGTTGGCAATGTCCCATTGTCGCAACAAGGCAGCAAACTCTTCTGTGTAGTCTGGAAGTAAGTGTCGGAAAAATCTGGATACAGACGCACAAAGTTCATTACCGTCAACGGGATTCACCATCTGACGGCCACAAATAGCTGTGACTGTAACAAGGGCTGCTTTGTGTGCTGCACACCTCCACATAATGAGCCGGTAAGTCATGCATCTCCGAAAGGAAGAGATTTCCCTGAAATAGTGAAGAACAATGCGACAAGCTGCCTCGTTGGTATTGATAGAGTCTCCCGTCAGCACATGTACCACTGTGGGCAATTCGTCGCGCACATCTTCGGGACTCAGCAAGGCAGCCAATACCCCGTTCAGAGCTACAATGATTGAAGTTGCCACAACCTCTTTGGTTTTGTTTTTGAGCGGCTGCAACTCTACATACCAAGGCAAAGCTTCTGTGTCCAAACCATGGATTTGAACCGAATGGTTTTGAATTTTTGAATGCTTCTGTCGTGACAACTTGGGAGCATTTCGAGGCAGAATGCAGTCTTCGGAACTCTCCAGCGTAGCGGTATAGCTGCGCATTCTCATGTCGGCTCCATCGTGGACATGGGAAATTACAATAGACAAACTTTTCTTTTCAGCGCATGCTCGACTAAAGGAGTACTGTAGTTGCTTGGCAGATAGTTCTTTGATTTGCTCCACAAAGGCATCCCGGATGTTACCAACCTTCGGGTGGCTGATTACTTGCTCCCCGCCCAGTGCATGTTCATTGAGCAAAGTTGCCAAATTTCTCGAAGGTAGCGTTGGATCTGCCAGCATCACCCGTAATATCGCAGAGCGGGAGAGCATACCATACTTGTCTTTTGTTCCCTTTATGTCCTGCTTTTCTTTCAACAATCTGCTCAACTTTTTCTTGTTGTATTTCAAAGAGCTCTCCAATTGAGCCCTAGTTTTTTTCTTCACCTGTCGGGTTCTGGAATGGGCCGGCTCTTCTCGCACATCAAAATGAGCTTCTAGAGAAGCCACCAAAGTCTCTACATTGGAAATTACGCTGGTATGATCTTCTGATGTCAGCGTTGCCTTAAATTGCACCAAGTGGCGATGAAGACTTTTGGCTTCATCGTTGCCCTCCATACATCACACTCTAAGAAAAAACTTCAACATGCAATGGTGCCATGCAATGCCTCATTTCACACCCCAATGTTCACATGTCCCTGGGTGATATTGTAGAAACCATTGCATTTTGTTGTCAAGATATGTTTTCTGTCTTCGTGGGATTGCCATATGCACCTATTGCAGTGCACATTGAGCCATGCAATGAATGTCGGCCATCTCAATAATACACCACAAGAATCAAACATCAACACAAAACCTTCTGAAAAGAGAAACCGCATGAACAAAAAAGGGTTCCAAGAATTTACACCTAATCAAGTCAACCTTTGTAGTTCGACCCCCTTTCTCGCGAGCATTCGCGAACCCCTTGTTCACCAGAGCCCCGGTTCTTCCGGTGGAGCATACAGTACGTTGCGCAAGACGCTGTTGCACATACTGAAATCAGAAAGAGAACAGGAACAACGAGAGGCAAAAGGAGAGAAAAACATGTAGCAAAAAAGTCTGCCCTCAAGCAACTAAGCAACAAATAAAATTTCAACATATATGTATGCAAAAAAAAAATATATATATATATATAAAATAATAGCTATAAGTTTAAGCAGGTTTGGACAACGTTCTCCTGCAGTCTCTAGGCTGTTTCTAGTCTCTCTCCGTATTTCAAAGCGGAGCACGTCAAGCAAGGGGAAAACAAAAAGGCACTCGTCAATGGCACGTAGTGAGGGAACGAGTCTGTAGTCAAAGACTTCCCGGGCTATGAAGTGTACGAAGGACAACTTCTAGCTGGCAGCCGAAGCCGAGCTTCCAAGTCTAAGTGATGAAGGATAAAGGTGGTGAAGGCCAGGGAAGGACAAAAGGAAACAGAACACCCGCACCCTCTCGGTTTAAATCTGCATCCAGCTTCAATTGCGACGGGAGCTGCGCAGCAGGGACACATGGCAGCCATGTCTGGCTCCTCTCTCCCCAAATGAGATGTTGATGGATGTTGGATGAATCAGATCTTGGTTCTGAGCCATCCATCCAGTCCACCACCCATCCAGCCAAGCCAAGTCTCTCATATGATCCATTGAACTTCTCTACTGCCTTTCTGCTACGATCCAAGCTCTCAAGGTTTGTGGGCGTCAAATCCCCTGGAGTGCGGCGGCCAGGGTCGGTGGTCATGGTGTTTCCTTTACATCCACTCTGGGCATGGCTTTATGCTTCCGGCTTCATGCTAGGCTTGCTTCATGGATTTTCCAGCAATGTATCCACACAATGAAGCCCGGCTAAAAAGACTCTTCCAAACAGGTCAGTAGGTATGAGAAAACCTCACAAAAGCAAGTATCATCAACATTCCTGTCATCCATGCGTCTGCAAACTCAAAAGGAACAACAATCCCCTGCTGGCATTGCAAATTTGAGCCAACATGTTTTTTTTTGAATATGCATCCTGCAATGCATTGGGAAACATTAGAACTATGGCGAACTGCAGCACAAGATCCCATCAGTGACCCAAATACCGATCATCATTTACAAATGGAGCTGCAAATCTTCCACCAAGCAGCAACACATCCCTCCCTTTCCGAAAAGCCATCCAGCTCTACCCGCATCCCCCGACACCATGAACCCGCTTGGCAGCTCACCCAGTCGCAAAGAGCTCCCGATGACCACATTCACCACCTTGTCGATGATGTGTAGTGACGCATGTTTGTGACCTCGAGGACACGAATGTTTGGATAAGGGCCAAACGAGGCTCCAGCAGCCCTAGCCCTCTGCGGAGGTACGGAGCCACACCTGATCCCTTCAGGGGTGGCACCCGCTCTGACTCTTGCCCAAAAACTGCCCCCTCGGCAACCATCCGCCGTACAGATTCAAAACCCTAATTAGATCGAGTTGAGGGAAATATCCATCGCTCTCCCTATCTTCTGTTCGCGAAGTGTTAAAATCTGGTTCAAATCACTTTGAACTTAACCACCCACGTCCTACGCCCCGTTGGAAGAGTCGCCAAAAATCTGAAAACAGGACGGCGGCTAGCTGCTAGCTGAACCGCCAGATCATGACAAACAAATCAAAAGTGCTGAAGCTAAGAAGAGATGACAGCAACTTTGCCAGCAGGTGTTCCCCATCTGGGAAAAATGGCACGTGCCCAAGGCTCTTGGCAACCTCTATAAACGAAAACTGAAGCCGAAAAACTGGAGGCTGCGAGGAAGATCCAGGCACGTGTGTGGCTCGTCTGGGCGTCTGGGCTGGGAACCATGAGACGTGAGCAACACACTTCGATTGGTGGAAGAATCCTTCAATTCATCACATGTGATTGCAATGTGACCCCGGGCAACGAAGAAACTGCATTGTTCCTGAGACCACGACCATTGCAGCAGCCGTAGGACCTCCAAGCAAAGCGACTGATGATGCCCCCCGGTCTTCCGGAGCGCGAACGCCAGAAGCCCAAGACTTGGGCATACGGATAAATGCGGTGTGCCTGGATTTGCTTGTTACATCGTCTTTCTATATATATATATATACATAGGTGTGTGTGTGTGCATATATGTATATACTTATGTAACTTATGTATATATAATCTATATCTTCTTTGGAAGGGCCATACCCACCAAAACAAAAGAACGCCCGCATCAGACCGCCCCAACCGCGCGGCGAAAACTCGTGGCGAACACTCGCCCCTTGACTCAGGCGATCCGGCCAATAAAGATCCGTCACTGAAGCAGCCAGCGAAGGCGAGGGACCTCACCTAGACCGCATAGGCAATGGTGAGGGGCTTTTGCGAAGCGAAACGATGGAACACATTAGGAAGGCAAGAAGCACACTTCTTGAGAAACATCGAAGTGGAAAATGCAGGTCAAAAATGCTTGCAGGCTTGGTGCCTTTCCAAATGTTTCTAATTTCTTGTACCATAACCAAGATTAAAATTAAAACCATCCCCCCGCTACTAAAACGCCCGCACGAGCCTCTTGCACCATGTTTCGCCGATCGACTGTTCCACAATGGTCAAAATTCTGTTCTAACGACGAAGGAATGAATGGATGAGAAACCTTTGTCTAAAAGACTTTCCCAAATCATAAGCCTGCTTGAGAAAACAGGAACGGGCATGGGACCATTGGTCAGCTTCAACATGAGCAGGCTCCCAGCCAAAATTGCCAAGTGCACTAAGGTCCACTGAATTAGTGATGTCAAATCCAAGTGGCACAATCACCTCAAGACGTGATGAACAAATGCAATCATATGACACTCATCCCCATTTGAACTCGGCCCACCCCATCAGTTGGTTTCCTCCACCCGAAGCTAAGTCCCATGGCCATGGATCCAGGGCCCTCCTCCCCGCCGGAAAAGACCTGCGAGGGCTGGGCATGGTGACAAGTCGGTGGGTCTAGGACGTGGGATTTCTACACACGTCTTGTGATCAGTCCCACCAAGCATTCCCCAGAGGATCCCGCAAGTCCCGGCTCGACCTAGACTTTTGGGCCAGATCAGCACACCATGGACCATCGCGGCCTCTGCAGCGGAAAAGTCCTGGCACCAAGGAATGAGATGTGGCTCTTAGCGAGCGCGTGTCAACGTCCAAGCCCCTGGCAGCCTACACACAGCCTATAGAAATCTTCTCACTAATTATTTGTCAGTATCATTCATCCTCCTGTAATCTGCAATCCGTGGAAAGTCGGTTTTTTTCCTCCTCATCCACCCCACCGCCAGAAACCACCCCTCCTCTCCCGTCACCAGCTTCTCAGCAGCTTCCGGCCAGGTGCGCCGGATCAGCTGTGAGGCGGTGGACCTCACGGTTTGCAGCGGTCGGTCCAGCCTCGCTCGGCATAAGAAGGGGCAACTAGACAACTTGCTGGTGTGGCGTGAAGAACAAAGGAATTGTAAAGGAAAAATATTGAAAAAGTTCGATGAAATACATTTGTGCGATGTTAAACGACGATTGAACCCCAAAAAAGAAACTCTAAAAAAGAGAAGAAAAACACTGGCACCTGTCAGGTTTCAAGTGGGGGAACTCGGCGGCGCAAATGGCACAAGGGACATACAAGTTGACTATCTGAATTCTAGCAGCTGAACGTGGTCTGGGATGTTGCGACCACTGCCTCTTAAAGTGATCTTCCACGCAACATCTGTGACTTTGTCAGTCCGATCTTACTTACAAATCATTTCAATGTTTTTCTCATGCCGCCCTGTGGTTTGCTGTCTGTGCAAGCCAAGCTGCATCACTTCGGGGAATCTCTCTCGATGCAAGAAATCTATGTATACGATGTATATATTATCATATTTCACCGCCGGGAGGGTGCAGGCATGCCGGGTGGTCAGTGAGGATAAATTTGGAGAAGTATGATGTATCTATGTGTATCTTGTTCATTCCGTTTCACCTTATCTTCCTGGTGACTTTGGGTTGGTGTGATGAACATGTCCAGAGGCAGTCCATCCACACGCCAAAGATCGACCTGAATCACTCGGATCGCCGGTTGAAGGACTTTTCTCACCAGTGACAAGACTGCCAAGCTCCAGCAAGCATCGAACCTGACAAAACATGGTGCCAATTGGATTGGCTCAATCGTGGTTTGTACCATGTTGATCCATTTTGTACTTGTTCCCACCGCTCACACCACAAGAAATCCACCGGTGTTTTCCGTGCATCCATCCATTTCTGGCCTTGTCACATGTGGCGCCCACACTGTCCACCACACGCGAAGCTATCAAAAAAAAGGACATCCAACTCATTGAGCAAAGCCCTCAGAACCACCTTGACACTTCTCTGGCCGACGTTCTGAGCTACAACCTACAAACGTTTTCATGAGTAATTACTCAACCAATCCGAACTCTTCTGGTGCTTTTTGGTAGCAGTGTCGGCCCCCTGTATCCCGGCTTGGACCGATTCCGGTGATCAACTCCGGTGACCACATCCCCGTCGCCGCCTCTCGCTCCTCAGGCTCCTTCGGCGCCCGCGGCTCCGCCCAGCAGCGCCGCTGGGTGACGCCCAGGCGCCCAGCAGTCATATGGACCAAGAGGCACTGGATTTCAAGATGGCACATGACATGTGCAGCAAGGGACAACTCAACTCAGTATATAGAAGGGACTTCAGACATCTATCATGCTTGGGGTTGTCCAGCAGCAGTCAGCTGGTATCTGAATACATGTTCACTTGCATAAGGAGAAAAAACCTGTACACTGTAGACCTTTGCACTAACTCTACAACCTCAGTGGGTCAAGGCTTGTCTGTCTGACTCGTATCAATGAGCTTCAAACTTCAAGGCATCTTATGATGGAATTATGACCCATTTTGGAACATTGAACCGGGGCATACCACGGCGCATGCGGCGAAACAGGTTTGTCGTTTCGAGGGTCATCTTCGGTATGGCTTCTTTATGTATGTGTATAGATGATAGATGGAGATGCTTGAGCCAGACGAGCTCAAATGCACATTCTGAATGCCATCACCTTGACATACGTTTTCCCAGGACAGTTTTTGATGTAAAATCATGAGCGCTCTGGAGGGCAAATTTGTGGAGGGGTTCTCAAGTGCCTTGTTAAGGCTGTGGGCAGGACGCACGCTCATCCAACTACAATGATCTCAAGATCTGCGCTCCGACTCATTAACATGGAAGCGGGGAATGGGCCCCTGAAAGACAATTTTCCTTTACAAACAGGTGGTTTTCCACTTCCATGTTAGTGAGTCGAAGGGTAGAAAAACTTTGTTCAGGGCCTGAGGGGTGCTTTGCATCACTTGTGGTCCATCAGTCCTAGCAGTTGCGATTCCACGCCTCCTGCATCTGGCGCATCATTGGTTTCAACTCGGCCGGCTTCACACTCAAGTCATCGCCTGCAATGGCTTGCTGCAAGCAGCTCCAAGAGTCCAACCACCATGAGTTCCGAAAAAAGTGGTGCCGAACTTCGCCAACACCTTCTGCCGCTAAACGCCCCCTTCACCTAAACCCACTCGACCTGTTTCAACACCGGAGAAAACGATCCCGACCAGGTGACCATCTCCCAGGGCGCCTAGGTCCACGTGCACCGCGCAAAGGGCTGCCTTGAGTGACTGCACGGCCACCTCCAGCGGCTGCTGCCGCGCGAGACGCCGCCGCGACTGGCGCCGTCGCGCCTGCAACGTCAAGGCGAGGGCCTTCCGCCAGTGATGTGCCTGGGCGCCTGGAGGAATCCAATGGCTGGCACGCCGTGTTTGTTTTAAAGACGTTTTTGTGCATATCGTATCTCATCATCTCTCCATATTGACCATTCTGTAGAGATAGTTCGCGGCCGTCACTGGACAAGAACCGCCAACAACATCCAACAATTCCCATGGTCGACAGCATTGCTCCAACGATATTTCCCACTCAACATTGATTTTAAGATATTTTAAGACTTGCCGTTTTTTCGATATTCTCCATGTAAAACCAAGAAACCTCTTGGGGTCCACCTCAACCCTTCTTCTATACACTTTGATCATTTTGTTACCAATCTCGAACATTCTCCAACTCCAGGAAGTGCCAACCAAACTCCCAGGCCCTCCAGGCCCCTTCCCATGCGACAGGCACATGCGACCGCCACTGCCGACAGCCCCAGCGCATCGCCCTCCGCGCTGTGCGCATGCGCGAGGCCCAGGAGGTGGAGAGCCATCGACCATTGCAGTGCTTTTTGGCAAGATTGAATGGCAGCACCTGGTATGTCCACAACAAAAAAAAACTGTTAGGTGGGAAACTGTTGGGATGGGTAGCGGGGTTGATAGTTTGGAAAGTGACAATAGTTGGGAACTCGGAAATCGTGAGCCCTTTCATGGCTTTGGATACGTCAACGAAACCAAAGGACGCAAAAAAGATCCTGGCCCATCTCACTCTGCTCTGTGCCCCCGTGCTTCGTCTGGCTTCTTCTCTTTTGTTCGCGCTGCGGTGGTATGTCGCCAGACTAACTGGCGGAGTCTGTTCCACCGATGTCCATCCGATGACAATGTTGGAAGCCGATGACGATGTTATATGAACGGATGACCGTGTTGAACCATTGACCGTGGTGTGAAACCGATGATAATGTTGGGAAAGCTGTTGATCAGTGCTGCCCCACCCCCAAGTTAAAAATACAACGCCAAAGCCCCATGTGCACGTCTCACTCAAAAAACAACAACAGAAGGGATCAAACTGATCAAGGAAGAAAGGGCAGGTCTTCTTCTGTACTAGCTGCTAGCTATTCCCTCATATGCTTCTCTTGCAAGTGGCACGGGCCCTGCCCCAGCATCAGCGACATTGATGTCCTGTTTTGAGGATTCTGTACCCCCTGTTGCTTCCCGCGTGACCACTATTAAATTGGGACCAAAACATCTTCAAACACACATTAAGAACACAGTGGAATAAACATGAACTGAAACATATATCCTTTCTGACAGGTCAGGTTTGGAAGGTTCCTTTCCCATCCTTTCCCCATCTGGTCTGGTGATCCATCTGCAGTCAGGTGACAAAATCGGATCGTCTTTTGGGCCTGGCGGGGAAGACGAGGGCCGTGGTCTCGGTGGCGTTGTGCCTTTTGAACCACCAAGAGATCCCTAGAGTTGTGCCTTCTCAAAAGGCATGACACACCACAGGGCCTTAGAAAGCCATGTCCTCTGGTCATTCCTGTAAATGTCCGTGTTGATTTGTTGGTAGAGTTGGTCGCCATCCGCTGGAGCCAAGTCCTACATCTTAGCTTACACGTCTGACCCACTGACTGAGGCCGACCCTTGTAGCAAATCCTCGATCCAATGGAGAAGTGGCCAGCAGCAGCGCGGACTGCCATAGTGCGTTTTTCCTTAGCCCAAGCAACGAGACCTTTTTGGAGGGTCAGGTATTCTTAATATCAACACCCGGCAACTCCAATCAACAAAGACTTACTTGGGGAATGTGGTGAGCTAGCTCCCAAAGATTTCGTGGGCTGCATCAAGAACCACGCTGCACCACTCACATGGCCTGGACTTCCTCTATGACTATGAGGGATGGTCAACTCATTCATTTATTGGTTGGTCCCTCACCCAAACACCTTAGGTTTCCAGGGCTGGTTTCTACAATGGTTAGTCCATGTCAACTCAGACAGACAAATTAAACAAATGTGCACATGATTTAAAAAATGTATATGTTATATCTATATAATATATATGGCTTAACAGTGTTGTAATACAGGGATAGAAAGCGAGAGCGAGAGCTCTCGAGTTGTGTTCAAGCACCCCTCATGTGGTACAGGATGACATCCTCCAAGGACCCACCAGCGAACCACAGGAGCTTGACCTTCAAAGAGTGAGGCTCTGCTGATCAGCAGGCCATGCCAAGAGTCTCACAAGCTGAGATGACCGAGTTCAAGACTACGACCTGAGCTGCCCCAGCACGTGGGTTTGTCATCTATGGCAGACCGATGCATGTCAATGGCCGGGTTCCCTGTGGCACTGGATGCCAACATCGTTTCGACATACCTGGCCTGCTCTGTTAGTCTCTTCCTCACTATCCTGCACCACATCCAAATATCAGATTCACGGGACCAATCTTTGCTCAGCAGCATTTGCTCGAAGAGCCTTAGGGAAACCAGGCCAGGCTTGACAGGCTACGGATAGCAATCAAGGACGGAAGTAATTCTGCCTTCATGTCAGTTGCTGACTTTGCTTGCAAAGTGTGCCCAATGCATGATGAAGGGCTTCGATGATGTCTTGCAAGACTCCGGACTCTAGACTGCTCCAGATGTCGCGTATGAGTGGATTAACATGACAAGCGAACCAGGAGACACAACACTGGCAGCTGTCCCAAACCACCCACTGCGTTTGCTTCAGACGAGGCACCAGCTGCTGCATCCTGCTTGGTGAGGATGGGCGAGGGCCAATTGTGTATATGAATCAGCTCATTTTGGAAACTCGTACTCCCACTGTTTGCCTACGACACACGCATGGACCAATTGCACCATGGCGCGGTTGGAGCACCAGTGGTGAACGAGTGGTGGGGAAAAAACAAGTCCCTCGGTCCCTCGGGGCAAAAAGCCACTCTCAAATGTGAGCGGTTGGTTTATAGATGCTTAGATAAACTATAGTTGATTAAATCAAATAATATGCTATTAACTGCTTCTGCCAAGACCCTTTTCCGTACTGCAATCTTCATCCATCCAACACCACCTTCTTTGGCTCCCTCACCTCACCCGTGCTCCCTTTTTCGGTCCGACAGCCCGCTTGTTGCGCCGCGCCTCTCCAAGAGATTCAAGGCCTTGTGACCCTTCGCCGCCTTCTCCAGCCCAGCAGCCGCTGCCCCGTAGCTGGCCATGCTGGGCGAATGCTTGCGTGACACCATCTCCTGCGCGATCTGGGCAAAGCTGGGAGGAGAAGGCTGGGGGACTGATGCGGCCGAAACCGGCCGAAACGGGGAAGACAAATCACTGGCGATGCGCCGGATTCACCCTGGAGGAATGTGTATAGGATAGGGGTTGCTTCCTCATGCATCCATCTTATTACACACTCCTCCAATGCAAAGCATGAAAATTGCAGCAGGTATCATTGCAACCAACACTGGCAGTGAAGCGCCGGCCTCGAGAAGTGCCAGCGCAGAAACCTTGAGGCAAGAGAAAGTGTCTGCGCTTCGCAGGATGAAAGTACATGCGTTATGTGGCCCAACAGAGTGTCCGCGAAGTCTCAAGAAACTGGTGAAAAAGCATCCAACGGGACGTTTGCGGACTTTTGAGGCCTTGGGTCTTGCCAACTCCTTCAGTCCTACAATGTCACACACCGTCGTCCATTGTCGCCAAGGCTCCCATCTTGAAGCCTTCTCCTTGTTTGAGTGAAGTCGAGAGACTCAGTGACTCAGCACTCCCAGGAGTAAATCAAAAGCCTTCACTTGTGTGAAGTCCCTCTTCTGAAAGAACTGCTCGAAAGGTCCGCATGAAAAGGTGCTTTGTTACTAACAGCCAGTTGTTCACCGAAGCCTGAAGAAAAAAGCAGCGCAACTGCTTCCCCCGTCGCTACTCTTGCGAAATCGGGACTCACAGGCGCTCATGGCCACATTGTAGGAGATGAGGCTGGGCTGTGCTGCCTGTGCTGAATCACCAGGTACACATCGGAGACACCCCGTGACGCATCCGAAGCACTACAGGTCTTGTTGACAAAGCCGTCTCATGCCATGAAGGGGATGGTATTATTAGACATTTGGCCAGGTCTAAAGCATGCCAGCAGGATGTTTGGTCCGCCCACCTGGCGGTGGAGTTCACCGAAGATCAACCTGGGCGAAAGTTAGGAATCTGGCCCCAACTTCCTACGAAAGAACTCATGCCGGCATCTGCAGTTTCAGGGTATTTATCACCTCCATGTGACAGCGAGTAAAATATTATTCCTTGCAAACCCACTTGAACACATGGATGGAGTCTGGAGCAAATCATCTGTCCGACGCAAGGGACCAAAGGGAGCGCTCCCACTGCATAGCGCTTGCACACCCAGCAGCGGCAGTATTGAAGGAGGGCACCTGCGTCCGAGCATTTCACAAACGAAACCAAATCGAAACCAAGCACCAGCTGAGCACAAATGGGAGGTGTTTGTTAATATTGCTACTCACGATTCTACATCAGCTAGTGCAAATGGCGAACTTGGAGTCACATGTGATGTAAACCTCCCAGGCAAAAATCTCAAAGGCTTCCCCCGTCTTTCACCGTCGCCTCCGCCGGAGCGAGACCTGTCCTCGGGTCGCTGCGACGCCCCGGCAGGTCCGGTCAGTGGAGTCGAGCGCCGACAGCATCCGACAGCGTGGAGTTGGTCCCGTCGCTTTGCTGCAGGCCCCCCGCAATACAGGGGGTAGTGCAGGCTCAGCTCACAACTGAACTTAGATGATCTTAGATGTTGATCTAGGCCCACAAAATGATTGGGTATGCCTGTCCCCAGCCGGAGAACGTTGACTTGGAACGGGTACTCCAACTTGCTGATCTCTAGCCATGTTCCTGCAAAATGTATCTGTCCAACTAGTTGTCCGTTACCTGCTGCGGACCCAAGAGGCTGGAGGCGCTTCAGCAAATGGAGGGCTTTGGTCCAGTGGCTGGCCTCCGGCGTGACGCTCCAAAAAATGCACTGACGAGCCGAATTCTTTACATTTTTGTACACATAAAAGTAAAAATATAAATATAATATGTATACAATTAATTTTATATCTGTGTGTGTGTGTGTTTGTGTGTGTGTGTGTGTGTCGGATGATGTGAATGCAATCCACGAACCAGCAAGGAAGAAGAGGTGGTCCCATGGTCATGGCCTGTGCATCCGCACAGCTGTGTTTTGGGTCTGGCCCTGCGCCTGGACACAAGCGTTCATGGCCAGGTTGACTGCGCTGCCATCCACTGCACAAGCCATTTCAGCCTTCACGCTACAGGATCGGATGCTGTGTGTTTCTCTCATCAGGGGTCTCGGCCACCACATCTTTCTGCCAAATAGTTCGTTGAACGAACAGTCCGACCAACTAGAAGTCACAAGACCTTCTGCAAAGGATGCCATCCCAGGCCGTGTTTCTGATTGCGCGCTCAACCTTTCATGCGCCTGCTTCAAGAGCTCCAAGGCCAGCTTCCACTCTGTGCCTGGACGGCACTCTCCGAAGGTGGGACACCGTGCCAAGGCGGGTTGAGAGAAACGGTCCACGCGTGTCACGTGTGGACCAGGGAGGTGTCGTCAAGGTCATGTATGACCCTGCCTTGAGCAGTTGCGTTGATGACGATCGTGTAGGAGGCCGAATCCTGAGGAAAACAAACTACCATACATTGCCGATGTCCCCTGTAGCCTAGCTCTAGCCCGCAATGCTCTCACAGCTTTGGGGTCCGACTTGGGGGAAACATGAGGAAACCAACAAACAAGATAGGCGTCACCCGACCACACGAGTCTCCAATTCCCAATCCTCTCAGCGTGGACATAATTACATGTGAGAGACATGACCTAGACCAAGTGCACTAAGCTGCAACCTCCAAAGCCACAACATGATGTGCGAGGACTGAAAAACACAACACACTTCTATGCAAACCGCGCGTCAAGCTTCAACCCGAGCGGCAGCCTGGTGAGCGAATGGTTGAAACGCATTGAAACGCAAGGCAAGTCCAACAGTTGTCCTTTTCCGAGGGGACTGGGAGGTTATGGATACTGCTTCACACTTGCTACGGTCAGCACCGCAGAGCCCTCAGGGCACAAAGCATTGTTGCGCCCTTGTTCAGGGCCCTTGCATAAGAAGGTGTTTGGGTTGCAGAACCGCGCTCTGCACTTGCAACTTGCGACCGCTTGCCTCTTCAGCAACGCCACCGATCTCTGCCACTCGGCAGTGTCCTTGGTGGCCATGACAATCAACGATAGTCGGCCCTTGTCGGCCGGGCGTTCGAGCAAACAGATCGTCGGCCCTCGCTTGCGCCCCAGGTCCAAAGAGTGTGTTTTGCCTCATCGTTGGGGCTCTTTTCACCCAACATCCCATGGAAACACGAAGAGATCCGAGAGAGAGTCAACACACACGCGACGCGAGTGACTTCCATGACATGCGAGTTGCGGCCATATTTGGCCCGGACCTTTTTGCGACTTCATGAGGTACTTCTTGAGTATGTAAACAGTTCACCCATCTGCACACATCTGCACACTCAACGAGTCTGCTCTCTGATATATTTGTCACACTGAGGCACTGCAATCACTCTGAGACCGATCTTGAAGGCTGGCAGGCCTGAGGACAGCATCTCACGGATGTGGATCCGGTACCAGAGCAGATCACGTCCACGGCAACACCAAGGCAAAAAGAAACCAAATCAAATCCGGGAAGAATGCTGAAAGTCTCGTGAGTCTATCTAGAGTCTAGATCCCGTTTTTTCTGTTGTGTTCTTTGGCTTTGAATGTCCATCTTGACGCTGTCATCTTCGGGCAACCAGCCTTCTGGCGGCCAGCCGCGCTGAAGCTCTGAGCCTCGACATGAGACCGATCTCAAGCCGGTTCTACCGGTCTAACTGAGGGATTTGATGCTTCTACCCCACGGACCTGAAGCAGGGTTCGTCAGTTCTACTCGACTCAAAAGGCCAAAATGACTTGAATATAGGGAACCTTGCCAGTTTAAGGGTTTCTATGTGTTCCTCAATGTTTCTGCCATTTCAGTAGTCCGGAGTCCCTTCGTAGCCTAGGTATACACAAAAAGGGTGGGTTTGGGGGCTTGAGCCATGTGCATTAGGGATGAATGCATCGGAAACACCGGCAACATTTAAAGAAACCAGGCGCACAAAGTCCACGGTGCAAAGAATTCGTTCGTTTGAACCCAATCCAATCTCTCTCTCTCTCTCCCTCTCCCTCTCCCTCTCTCTCTCTCTCTCTTCATTTCTACGCGCGCAAGTCCAGTGGAGGCTCTGCATGTCTTGTCACGCCTGCCTCCGTGAGACACCTGCCTCTCAATTTGCCAACTTGAAACTGGTGATTCAATCCGCTTCATCGGCAACACAGGCGGGACACACTTCCACAAAGCAGATTGCCAGCCCAGTCATGTAGCCAGTCCAAGCGCTGGCTCCCCCACATGGTGTTGACCGGACCTTGGCCTCCGAGGACCTCTTCGCGACATGTTCCAGAGGTACCCCCCGGTGGCCGACGTATTGGAAGGTGTTTAGGCCGCTGGTATCAGGTTCGCCGCCAAATCACTGCTAACCCATCATCTTGGTCTAAGATCACTCCCTCTGTTCGAGGATCGTCCTCCAAGAATTTCACATTGAACCTTGGGCCAGGGCAAATTGGCAAAGCCACCTCCTCCAGTTGCTTACCAGCTTCAGAAAGCTGCAAAAATCCGTTGAACTTATTTCTTGATCTGCAATTAGTTCTACCTCCAGCTTTCAGCACCCGTGAGGAATCCCAAGCCTATGCAAGCTCTCCGCAATCTTTCCAAGTCTTCCACCACTTTCAGGCGCTCCCGCCCAGCTCCGGCGCGCGACCCGCCCGCGGAAGAGCACGTTGTCGGCCAGCACGAGGCCATGGGGGGCGAGGAGGCCACGTTGGAGGCTCTGATCCAAGTATTGGGTGTATCGCTTCATCGAGCCGTCCTTGGATCAGCAACAGGACCAACAGGTGAAGTTTGGGACATCAACTATACAGAGTTTCACTTATTTATATACAAAGTGAAAGCTGAATGTCACATCTGGCAACCCTATGTTCAGATGAATGTCTGTGGACAAATCACTGCTTGTCTCTTCTTGTGCCCTCCGGGTCCCAAGGGAGCAACGGCAAAACATCTTGAAAGCTCTCTCCCCCTCCTCGCCCCTCCAACTGAAGCCTAAATTCTCCCACCTGGTCCACCAGTGCACCTCCGCTCCCAGCTGCGCTCGCACTCCAAGCGACCAGGTGGATCAGGTCGTAGCACCCCGTCAGCTGCGGCAAGATCTCCTCGGCCAAGCCTTCTTCGACCTCCAGGTGATGCGAGGAAGCTCCGCCTCGGAGAGGCAAGGGAGTGGTTCCAGGGGCTGAAAACAAGATCCAAGCGGCTTTGGGAGATCTTGGAGATTTCTTGAGCAAGTCATGAAGTATACAATAGGTGACTGCTGATGTTAAGTTCAAAACTTCCCCAAAAAAATGTGTGATCAATGATGATAGCACTGCCTCAGGCAGGTGTCCCCATGACAGCCCGCCTCCGGCACGTTTGGCGAACTGGCGTGCTGCTGCAGCTTGGTGTGGACACCGCTCGATGCTCAGCACTGTAGCACCGGCATCCATGAAGCATAAAGCAGAGTATCCAGTGAAGGTTCCTGGGAGGTTGGAGGTTCGGAGATGGCCCGATGGCCCACCCAGGAAAAGACCCTTCTGCAAGGAAATGCAACCACTATCACCACCTGAATTCATCCTTAGATATCCTTAGCCAAAACCACGAGTCCTTCGCTGAACACTCCAAAAACCTGCTACTATCTATCCACTTGTCCATCTCTATCCAATCATGGCCTAATCCATCTGGTGAAAGAGCCCATCCATCTGGCCTAGGCTCCCACCTCCAACACCTTCTCCGCCGGCACCGAGGCACTAAGCCCTCGCAGCAAAGATCCACGGGAGGGGCTCGGCAGCATGTGTCGACCACCTGTGCTTTGAGAGCACCAGCTGGTCGGGAACACCCCTTCTTCCGGTCGGTGGAACCATCCTATTTTCTTGGAATCGCGAACATCTTCCGTAGAAACGGCTCCGTTTTTGGGAGTGTTCGTCACGTGCTCAGTGATTCAAGTTCCGCACTCAACATGTGTCTGGAAGAAATCGGGCGTAGTCTCACCTGGGAAGCGTTCCTCGGTAAAGGCCCTCAATTCCTGAAACATCCAGGGCTCCTCAGCCAGCATCGAGCCAGCCGCTTGGTGCAGCCGCTGCCTCGCCACGTCTGCCAGATCCTTCAGCTGCTCGTCTTCCACATAGCGCCCGTGACGCACCCGTAGGATAGGGAACGTGAAGCTGCAGCCAAGGAAGAAGAAATCCAGGAGTCCAATGGCCAGCATGGGCACCCAGCTGCAGCCCCATGTGCGACAGCTTCCCATGTGGGTGCTAGGAGCTCCCCATGGCTGCTTCGGGCTAGGGCCTAGGGCTCCTTTGGAAGAGATTCGGAGGTCGAGGGTCTGAGAGTCACTCCAATTCTTTATGACTCAAAGAGCCTCTGTTCTTCGCCTTGTGCTGAAATCTGCTGAAGGTGAGCAGAATTTGACCTGCAAGACCCGTGCAGGACACGTCAGGATCTCCTGTGCGCTCTGTGAGTTATTCTCGTGGTGCCTGACCCAACAAAAATTTGTTCCACCCAGCAGCTTAGCAAGCCCAACATCGTTTGCCATGGGCGTTGCTTTGAGACTCAAGAAGGATGACCCCAAGCTTGTTCTCCGAATCTCGCCCCTCACTCACTCAGGCCTTGCCCAACATATTTCAAGACGGTCCACCACTGTGACTATCGTCTTTTGCTGAGGGTGTTTGCCATGGCTTGCCCGTTGCATCTGTGGGATGACATGTGTAGTTGAACTGAGACCAGGAACAAAACATGCTGCTTTGGCGAGCTTGAGGGGGCTATCGAAAACCATTCGGGGAAGTACTGGCGACTAGGTTCTGCCATTAAAAATAGCCGTGAGCATCAAAGTTCCAGGCTTTGCACTGCACGGTTTTACTGCAAGAACCCTTCCTACCCGTATGCAGAAACCCCATGGCTCTCAGTTTTGGGAAACTTCCTCAGGTGTCCCTCCACACGGGAGGTCGGACTGCACTCAGCACTCACCTCACGCCGCCTTTCAGAGGCACAGCCGGTAGGCGAATTCGCCAAGTGGGGCCCAGAAGGGTTGGCACATCCTCTCCCGGCGTCTATCCGGATATACCGATATACCACTCAAACTCAATGACATCTGCAAGTGCACCTTGTTCTCTTTACTGGGCTCCCAGGCACATCAAAGCCTCCACGTGCACTCGGCTCTCTGTGCTGGCATTGGCCAAAGAGTTCAGCAGCGCGGTGAGCGCGCACCGGCGCTCATGGTGGTCACACAACGGCCTGATGCGATGAAGCATTGCTCAGAGTTGGGTTCCGTGATCGCTTGGTCTCTGTCATGAAGTGAGTGAGTCAACGAGAACTGTACGTCACTCACTTGCACTTACACGTCCGTCCGTACACTCCTTACACGTCCGTCTCCATTCCACCAGTGGCTTGGCCAAAGCTCCAGCTGTTTTACCTCATCCCAATGACCGCCATGATCACCTTAAACAAAACACATTCAGCTTCAAGAGACCCTGATGGTGGTATCCCTCAGGCGATCTTCCTTGATGCTCAGTGGCTCTCGGATGAGCCGGCACCATAAGTCGAGCGCCTGGCTGTGGCCAAAAACTGTCCAGAAACTGAGGAACATCTGCAGATGTGCTACCCTGCCCTCCCTCGACGAAAAATGGAAGTAGAAAACTCCAGCCCCTCAAGCAATGAAACATGGTCTTCCAGAAGGGCCGTGTTCACTTCGAATGCACCTATGCTGATTGAATAATAGAGAGGATTCTTTTCAAGCTCTTTTGGGGGACGCTTGCAGCCGGAGAACTTGACGCTTGAAACTGTGTGTTGTCAGAAGCAACTTGCCTGTCTAGTCTATTAGCCACCCAGAAACGTAGACCATAGCAAGACCATGCAAGACCACTACCAAAATGCGAACAAATCTCAGGCATGGACCATGGATTCATGGCCTCTCCTTCTACACAGGCTACGAATGCTAAAGCACGGCTGCCACCACTGCCATTGGAAGTCAAACTATGGACAAATGCATCCAAAAGCGTCCTGCTCCCATTCGGTAGCTTTGGCACATGCTTGGAGGGTGCTCCTCACAGCCAAGCACAGCGCAAAAGCTGCGCTCAGATCAAATCCATCGGGTCTTGTGAGGACGATCTGCCTTGCCCAACTTTGGCCAACATAAAATCCTTGACCTGTCCAAGATCTGCCCACATTGGATCCCAGTTTCCACATGTTTAGGCCAGAAAGTCAGTTGTTGAGACAAAAGCTCATACACGTATGCTGCTGCGCCGTTGCAAGCAGGAATTTTTCCGATTCTACAGTTCAGTGATTCTACGATTGGACAGCGGTGAAATTTTTGAGCACATCGGCACATCGGTGCCTGATCTTTCTGCTCGCCACAGATTCCAAACCTCCCATGTGCGCCGGTCCCGAGGTCGGCGACATCGTGGTGCAAAGGCGGCAGCAGAAGAAGGCTGTGGCGGCAGCGGAGGGCCTGGGGCTTGGAGCTGTGCGTGCTTTTCGGAAGCCGATGGATGCAGCTCAAACAGCCCAGAAATGCCCAGAAACCAGATTCCGCATCCCGAGGTTGTGGATTCTGTATGTGGGGGAGACATGACAATTCATTGAAAACCGAAAGCCCCTTTGGAGATGTGTGGAGAAGCATGCCCCCGCCATCCCCCGCCGTTCCAACAAAGAATAACATCCACATTGTCATGCCGGCTGTACACATCGTTGCGTGCACGAGCTTGAGCACAAGTCATGTTAGCAAATCCTCGTTGGAGTAAGTAAGGCCGGTTTAGAATATGATATATCAACATAGTTGTGAACACAACCAATAGGGCCACCAATTCAACACGTGTCAAATAGTTCTTGAAATTTGCACACACTTTTGCGCGTAGCTCTGTCAATGAACGTAATCCGGCGTGACTTCTGCTAAACAAAACCAACTAGTAGTAGACTAGTAGCCGTATTGAATCAACTGGCTCATATGGCACATGTGACCAAACATGAACAACAATGAAGCCACCTGAAACCCTGTGTGACAGAACGGCAGTTCAGCAGTTCCAGCAATATCCAGCCACATGTTGGTAGACATACAAAGCATTGTGAACATACCAACATGTGACATGAATTCTCGGTAATTACTTTACATGGTTCACTCGGCGGCACCTTCGCATTCCCCAAGCACCATAGCGCTTCCTGCCAAGCGCTCCTGCACGGTGCGCTGGGAAAGTGCCAGGAGCAAGGACCATGAGCTCCCTAAGGTCCGTGCTGCAGCACACTGTTCAAAAAAGGAAAAAAACACCGCGCGGCTCGGCGGTTGGTCTTCTTTTCTAAAGCAATCGCGGATCTACACGCCTCGTCAGAAGATGTCTTCAGATAGTCTGAGCAAATCTAAATCAAGTGACAGTATCAACTGAAGGCTGCGCTTCGACCCAACGAGGCCCTGAAGGAAACCGCGAAACCAACGAGCTGTGAGTCCAACAGCGGTCAACGTCAGAAATGCCGTGACTCAAAGGGAGTCGGATGGTTTCTTTATGGCACGAGCTGAACTGGAATAATGCGTTCATCCGATATCAAGGTGGTGCAAACAAATCTATATATATACTGTTACATATATGTATCTTTACATTCCAAGTACATGCCATAGATTTGCGTGAGATTCAGTGAGTGGAGGCCAAAAAATATCAAGCACACCTTGAAAGACTGGACGAGCTGCCCGACTTATATCATTAGCCCCAATGCAATTAAAGTAATTTCAATGGCCTTTTTGCAACAGAGGTGCGATCACTAAAGCTGCCCCTGCTTTCGAACGCTTCGTGGCTTTCACATCACCTTCTCTGGCCGCTTTCGGGGAGGCGCCTTCGTTAAAAAGGGGGGACGGTCCAACGTTGAGATCCGTCGCATGAAAGCTCGGCCAGTGGCTCGGTCGCACGCGTTTGGAAGCGCTCCAGCCGAAATAGATTCGAGTCCAAACGATCAGTTGGACTGTCCACTGTAAAGCATGTCATCCATGAATCCAAATGTATCTATAAGCATGTCATTGATTCATGATTGCAACCCTGATTGACTTGTCCACTTTGAAGCATTAACATCCCATCAACCAAATCTCCAAACAGATTTGGGCTGGAGTACGTCCGTGCCCCTCGCGTTGTCCGGCCTAGTCTTCCCTGATTTTCCCCTCGGTCTCTGTGCCCCACGGCACTGCCTCCACTGCTCCGTCTCACTCGGCGTAGCCGAACTCCAAGCGGGTCTTGCCGACCCGCTTGGGCTGAATGGTCACGTGTACTTTGTGCCAACCGTTGCACAGGACGCCCCGGATATTCCACACAGACCTCAGATGGAGATGCAGAAGAAATTCCATCCAAGCAGTGCCAGGGCCAAGCCACGGCAAGGTACATCCACTTATTGTGCAAACCGCAGCCATAAAATGCCATATATATGATATAATATGTTAGATAGAGTGTAGAGAGAGAGAGAGAGGAAAAAAAGAAAACATAAAGAAAGAAAGAAAGTCTTTGTGAAGAAAGGCAAATCAACTGTGGCACCGGACTACTTCCACCATTTGGGGGAGGATGAGTGGAATAGGCTCACGGTCCTTCATGTGCCTGTGAAGATGATGAAGGAAGCTGGAGAAGACACCAGGCAATGGATGCAGTACAAGGTGGGCAAGCGATTGGCTCAGGAACGTGCCAGGACTGAGTTCAATGAGGAAAGCCTGAAGGAACTGCAGGAGGCAGACCGCCGGCACTACCTCATCTACCAGGCAGCTGCTCGCATAGAGGGCATCCTCAAAAACAAGGAGCACTACATCCTGCTTGAAAAAGGTGGGGCTGCTGTGAAACAGCAAAGTGGGGACCCAAAGCCACGATCCAGGCTGGACGTCTTTCAAAAGATGGTCAGGGCAGCACAAGTGGGTTCATGCTCGTGGGGTACGGTGTGAAACATGCCACAGGAGGATCAAAGCCTGCTCCACATTGGCTGAAATGCTCCATAGATGGCAGCTCAAAGAGCATACCTTCAGCTGCAAGCGATACTGGATCAAGCTGCCCCGCAAATGCAGCAAGCAAGCACTGGCTGGTTTGCAGCAAAGTCCAGTGTGAGTTTGGGGACATTGACGAGAAGTCCCTGAACGTCAAGGGCAGGTTGCACCCATCACACTGCCTTGAACGACATGGCAGTACATTGAGTGTGTTCGTTGCCGGAAAACGCACTAAGTTTGAAGATGGCAAGAGGCAGAGTTGGGTAGCTGCTGAGTGTAAGGAGGCAAAAGGCCGGAAGATCCTTTACTTTGGGAGCTCCTCGTCATGAGACACGAGGAGGATGCCGCTTTTGGCTTTACCGCGGCTGGAGCGCTTCAGCTCCCTCGCTAGATGCGGATGCAAAAGAGCCGAGAAAAAAACGGAATAAAGAAAGAAAGAAAAAGAGGCACTGCAGGAGGAGAACAACAAAAGCATGTCCCATCATCCGTCCCCCTTTCTCGGTCCACCCCCTCTCTGGATCTGAGCAGCTCGATGGACTCTGGCTGCACGTTGTAGTTGGCATCCACCGCCTTCACCATCAGCGTCAAGGCCTTGCCAGGCTTCTGCAGCTCCGGAGGCACTGGAATATTGGCCTTCCACAGGGTCCTCAGTGCTGGAACGAAAGGCTTGGAAAGGTCGAATTGGCCTGCAAAGGTCGAGTACGTCTTGGAATTGGTACGTTCCATGTGCCACACCAGGAGGATGTTGTAAAGTCTGAGTGGCCCACTTGTTGGAGATGCCAAGGCGCAATCAGACCAGTCACAAGTTCATCAGGCGGTGTGCGCGTGCTTGGACGAAGCAACGGGATGAAGGCTAAAACTCTTTCACCCCGGTGGGGTTCACCACACCAGCAGGACCAAACGCCAAACATCAATCGAAGTTGCAATCAGACCCTGCTTCTAAGAAGCAAAACCCTACCAGTAGTAGCCTTCCAGTATATAATATATATATAGTTCCGATAGCCTAGCACTCTCTTCTTCGCCCCCAGGCCCCCAGTCAGTTTCCTCATACTCCCCAGTTTCCTCAGCGAAGGGTCCATGCCCAGGTCCGGGTCAAGGATTGCCCCTCCGGCCGCTGAAGCTCCGCCTCCGTCCACGTGTGCCCGTCCGCCGAGACCTCCACCCGCGCGATGCCACGGCCGCCGCCGCTCCAGGCCCAGCCCTGCGGCTCCGCACCGGCACCAATAGAAGCCCCTACACTAACTACCGATCCCACGCAAACCGCCCCGTATACCCCACCGTCCACCGAGGGAGCACCCCATCACCAGCGCCACTCACCTTCACAACAAGCGTCCGTTCCGAGACATGAGCCTCTTACCACAACATCTTGGTCTTCGCGCCTTCATCTCCACGCATCCCTCCGCATTGAGCTGAACCAAACTCTTGGCCGCAGGTGCCGAGATGGCCGAGTTCACCGGCATGTCCTGCCGCATCCCACGGTGCCGGCTCGCAAAACGCGTTTCCGCGTGTCCACCGCGCGCGGGTGGAGAAGACCGGCCGTTGGGATCGGCACGGTCGAAGCGAAGACATCGGATCGATGGTGATCGTGGGAGTTGGCGTGCTCTTTCTCGATGCTGTTGGCGGGGGGGGGGTTGGACCAAAATGGCGGTCTCGGCGGTGTTGGACAACTCGCGAACTCGCGGCCTCGCCTGAATGGCGGGAAGACTGGTGAAGTCGGCAGTCTCCCAGGTGATGGAGTTGTTGAAGGCCTTGTAGTCATTCCTGATCGGATCCAAACTCGCCGGCTCGGCGGTGTTTGGGCCGGGCACGCGGTCGTTTCGTCATGAGCAGTCGTTTCCTTTGCCGCGCATATCTTCACGTATGAATCGTGCAAGTGGGTGGCATCAGGATGAGATCAACAACTTTTGGCAAGTAAGGGTCTACCAAAACTACAATTCTATACCAGTTCTGAGTGGATGGAGCAATCAGATAGACTCAGAGACATCGCCAGTGCATCGAGGAATCTGCTGCCAGTGGGACTGAGACTCTTCACTGGCCACCTCGGGGCAAGAAACAGACTTAACTGACCTATACATTATAGTTGTCCTTGTGCAGCTCTGTCAGCACTTTAACCAAAAATGAAAAATAACTGACTATACAATAATACAAGTAGATTGTACATTCTATATCACTGTCGACTGTAGTAGTGTTGGCAGCTTGCCCCCTATATTGCTCGCGACGAGCAGGTAGAAGCAGCTGGAATTAATTCTGACGTGTCCTTGTAACTGTAGAGACGGACTCTATCCACACTCCGGCACTGCAAAACTCAGCTTTTGAAACTCTCTTGCTATGACACGGTGGAGAAGAAGAAAAACCAGAACATCTCAAGTTTGCTATGACAACAGCAAGGCTAAGAAAGTGTGCCTACAGCATCCATCAATATATTCCTTGAATAATGCTTAAAGGTTGAACCCAGGATTTTATTTTATAGAATCCTTTCGGACTGAGGTGACTTCCTTATTTTTTTGTGTGCTGAGGTTGGACATCATTTTTTTGAAGCAAGATTTCGGGTTTATAAAGTCCTTGACCGACCATTTATTAAAATCCTTCTCCCAAGGCCGCTCGGCCTTCTCAAAGTATCGTTACAAGTCTTATTTAAATCCTGGCATTGACCCTGGTGTCTCTACTGAACAAACATCGAATACTCTATTTTTTTCCTTCGAAACTTCCTTTCGAACGTTGGAGGCTTCTGGCTGCGCTGTCCGCAAGTCATTGAAGATCTTGGCACGTTTTGTGTGCTAATCAGTCACGTCTGGTGTCAGTGTAAGTTCCATTCAGGAACTGCTGATTCTGATATGCTGATTCTGGTCTGCTGATTCTACTGCGCCCCCCTGAATCATTTCCGACTGTCCACGACATCAGACATGAACCCGATCGACGGAAAAAAACCGATCGACGGAAGAGAAATGCAGTATATGCAGAAGAGCACGACATGTACCCCAACTCTATATCGATGTCTATTGGATAGAGGCAAAGAAAACTAAAATCCTGACCTTGACCCACAAGGACCTCCATGTTAAAGATAAACATGTGTTTATGGAATCCTGTGTCTAACCTGCCGTATGTCCCTTAAGTTCAGTAGTACCGTGACTTAACATGCTTTTTCTGAATTTCTGGACCAACGATCAATTTTCAAAGCCTAATCTTTTTTTGGTGATTTCTGAAGTCCTGGACGTACATGATTTTCGGGA